CTCTACATAAATGACCTCTGTGATCATATTAAGAGCAATTGCGTTCTCTTCGCTGATGATGTAAAGCTGTTCAATACTACAGACAATACTGCTACCCTACAAAAAGATCTTGACTATGTATTAGAATGGTCAAACAAATGGCAACTTCAAATCTCAACAAATAAATGCTCTGTCTTACATATTGGCAAAAAAAATCAGAAAATAAAATACAAGCTGAATAGTCAAGATCTTGTTGATGACCCAAGCTCTGGACCTTGATATAGGAGAAGTGATATAGGAGGAGCCATCCCCTAGATAATATAAGAACAAATTACTAACATTGGGTCTAGAAGGGTCTGTTTTAAGGAGAGACAGTAACTTAGATCTGCCTGCGTTATACATAGGGCAATATAAAAGGACGTGCTCCACAGTTTCAACCTCAGCTCTGTCACAGGGGCATAGCTGCTCATTAATCAGGAGCCTCTTAAATCGCCCATCCAGTAGTGCTGAGGGCAAACATTAAAGCGAGCTAGGGAGAAAGCTCTTCTACACTTGGGAATGGTTAGAGTGTAAAAATAGGAAGCCATCCTCAGTCCGTAATTATTAAATTGGCTGAAGATCACAGGGGAGCAAATTTTGTTAGCTCTGGCTCGTAGATATTGCAAGTCAATGTCCACAAGCCGTTGGACTACCCTAAATTGGGCGTCCTTAAGGCCACAATCTCCCAGGGCATCCCCCGTAAAACCTAGCAGGTGTAATTTCTTCATCAGCTCCCTCTCCCAATGAGAAATATGAGAGTCAGCAAACGCCAGGGAGAGGTAGCTACCAGGAACTGCCAGAAAGAGCACCCGAAACCACCATTTAAAAGTGTTAATCCACGCCATACATTTGACTGATCGAGTGCCCAGTTCCAGGTACATCAGAGCAAAACCAACACAAGGAGGAAAACCCAGAAGTTTTCTAAAAAAGACAGCCTGGGTTCTTTCAATACAATCCTTGAAGCCCCGTATCCATATGGGAATTCTGTAAAGAGTTTGAGCCAAAGTTTTGGCTTTGTAAATACACAGAGCAGAAGGAATAAACTGGCCTCCTTGGGTATAAAAAAATCTTAAAATCTGCTGGTGACTACAGGAGGCCGAATTCAGCATCTGGGTTCGATGTCTAGTCCAAGCACTGAAATTGAATACCTAAATACTTAAAATGGAAAACCTGCTTAACAGCATTACCATTGATAGCCCAGTTATACAATTTCTGGGCTTTAGAGAACACCAATACTTTAGATTTGTCGTAATTAATAGACAAGTGGTTCTCATCACAGTAGGACCCGAATGCAGAAAGTAATCTTTTCAGACCTGGCCTTGACAATGAAAGGAGGGCCACATTGTCAGCATAAAGGAGAAGCGGGATCTTTGTAGTTGACAACTTTGGGGCATGGGACTCAATACTTCCAATGTGAAAGGCCAAGTCAGATAAGAATAAATTAAACAAAAGAGGAGCCAGAACACAACCCTGCCTTACTCCGTTCTTAATCGGTATAGGATTTGAAAGTTCTCCCTGCAGACCACACCTGACCTGACTAGAGGTCTGGTTGTACAAGGATCTAATTAGGAACAGAAGACGTCTATCGATAGAACTTTTGAGCAGTTTTGACCACAACAGCCCCCTAGGGACTGAGTCAAATGCTGACTTTAGGTCGATAAAAGCAGTAAAAAGTTTGCCACCTGGTATGGTAGACAAGAAGGATTGTGAGTCTCGGAGGAAACGTAAATTGCATACTAGCTCAGTCCGGGAAAGTGCAACCCACTCCAGAATCACCAGACTTTTAGGGGACCAAAAATCTAAAGTCATAGTATATTGTTACATCTATATGAGGATAGCTCATATGCATAAACAGCTCTGACCTTACATTATATACATACTTTGTATTTTTTAAAATCCTTCCACCACACTGAAATAACTGGCAAGTGGTTTTCCTTGACAAATTACATTACATTAAATAATAAAGAAGATCAGAAATATGAATGAACAAGGAAAATTCTTATTGGAAGATAAGAAATTTTCTGATTCTGTACATGTGAGTTTGCTTCATTAAATATAAAAAATTCTTACTCTTTTAATGAAGATGGTATTGATAACATGTTACAATTTTATTATCACAATAGTTAAAGCACAATAATGATAGTAGGTATGAATTTGGATGTATAAAGCCTTTTTAAAAACAAAATATATTTTTTTCTGCTCAATCTTGTCCAATTTTTGGAGACTGCCTAGACAAGTCCTACAATTTTCTTGGCAAGATTTTTCAGAATTGGTTTGCCTCCTACCTAGAGCTGAAAGAAAATGATTGGACCAAGGTGGGACTAGGACTAGACACTCAGGTTCTAGCCTGATGCTTTAGTCATTATATCAAACTGGTTCTGATGAAAGTTAATGCTGACACATAATTAACACATTTTTTAAGGTATAGTTCTCTGAATATTTAAATGATTTTTAACAGTAGTTAAAATTAGTTAATCAGTTATTAAGGAGGCACAGCTACACACCACCACCTGACTAACATTGGCTGATCTTAGTAATCTAAGCAGGGTTGGTTGTGATTAGTATACAGATAAAAGACTATTAAGAAACCCAAAAACAAACCCTAAATGGATATATTCATGAAGTTACCAACAGGCAAAATGACTCAAAAGAGACCTTATTTTTACATAATATGATGACTTTCAAAAAAGCAGTGTCTAAATACAGGGCATCCTAAAACTCTTAAGTGTTTGGGATACTAAAAGTTTTGGGACTCACAGAGAGAGCAGTTTGAAGAAATAAATAGTTCAATGTCTAAAATTTAAGTATTATAACATGGCTCTATATAACTTTCACAAAAATGAAATAAACAATACTGTTATAAATTTTGAAATATTCCTAATTGGAGCAATCCAACTAGAGAATACACTTTATTCCAAACAGTTTAATTTTTTAAATATTTTAAAATGCATTGATTATATAATTATAAACTGAAATTATTGACACTGACACTGTAAAATTTGTGTTCCAAAGGCAATTTTTTTGAATGAGCCTATTTATGAAAAAAAGCTAAGATAAATTATACTATGTTAGGAGTAACAATATTAATTTGGTAGATGTAGTTTAGAGAAAATAAATAAAATGAACCATGATTTAATGAAGGATACAGCAAGGACCATATATGAAATATAGAAATATATGAAATGTAATTTCTCTAGCTATTTAAACAACATGACTTAAATATGTTATATGTTTTTGCACTTGAAATACTTTACTAACTAAAGAACTTTTAATCAAAAGTTGTATCCCATTACCTACTTACTTCATTAAAGACAAATTCATCCACATTAATTTCTTTATAGTCATCCTCAACTTCATCAGTTTTAACAGCTGCCAAAGCACTGGCTAGTTTCTTTCTCAAACGGAACCCTTTCCAAAGTGCCTAAACAAAAATGTAAAGCATGCTATATGAGGCCATAGATCAAGTACACATCCAGATTCTCTGTTATCCCATTAGAAAGATAAAACATTTTAGACTCTTTTTTTTCTACTTAGCAATAGCTCAATGGTCTGTTTTTTGAACTTTATGTGACATTTAAAACTAGGAGACAAATTAAATATCAGCATATGCCTAGAGCTGAGAACACTCTGGAGGTTTGACTCAAGCAAGCAGAATAGAATCCTAAACTCCTTTAACTACAAACCAAGGTCAACTAATTAATTATGACAATTCCTTCAGGACCTACTAGGAGTGTAGAAAAATATGTGTGTGTGTCTGTGTGTGTATGTATGTATATATGTACATATGTATGTGTGTAGGTATAGGTATAGTCATTCCACTGAAAAATAAAATACAACAAAGCCAATGTGGAGATGCCGACTTACTCTAAACATCCCATAAATGCATTAATTTTATTACTTTTTTTTATTTAAATAATTCTGCTGCTAGTACACTTTTCAAATAAACTTCCCAATAAAAATTTGTAAAACTTCCAATGCATTAAAACTTTTCTGCAAATATTTATTTTATAATATATAAATAAATATTTATAATAATGCCTCTACAGATATATACACACCATCTAATCATTTGTTTCTAGCATAAAGCTCTCAGGGACTGCATTTGAGAATATTTCAAGCCCAATATATTAGGAAATTAAATTAAAAATGAAACACTGAATTTGTCATTCTACTGTTCTTGTCACTGACAGAACTGCTTTGCCAGTTAGAACTGCTCCTTCAAAACCAATAAAATAACCAATGAAAAACCCATATGTAATAATTGATTTATATTTGTATGCATAGAATATGATTTGTTGTTGTTAATTGTATAGTCATGTCTGACCCATCATGACCCCATGGACAACATTACTCCAGGCCTTCCTGTCCTCTACCATCCCCCGGAGTCCATTTAAGCTCATGCCGACTGCTTCAGTGACTCCATCCAGCCACCTCCTTCTCTGCTGTCCCCTTCTTCTTTTGCCCTCAACCATTCCCAGAATTAGGCTCTTCTCCAGTGAGTCTTTCTTTCTCATTAGGTGGCCAAAGTATTTGAATTTCATCTTCAGGATCTGGCCTTCTAAAGAGCAGTCAGGGTTGATCTCTAGGACTGACCAGTTTGATCGCCTTGCAATCCAAGGGACTCGCAAGAGTCTTCTCCAGCACCATAGTTCAAAGGCTTCAATTCTTTGACGCTCAGCCTTCCTTATGGTCCAACTTTCACAGCCATACATTGCAACTGGGAAAACCATAGCCTTGACTATATGCACTTTTGTTGGCAGGGTGATGTCTCTGCTTTTTAGTATGCTGTCTAGATTTGCCATAGCTTTCCGCCCCAGGAGCCAGTGTCTTTTAATTTCTTGGCTATAGTCCCCATCTGTGGTGATCTTGGAGCCCAGGAAAATAAAATCTGTCACAACCTCTATTTTTTCCCCATCTATTTGCCAGGAATTGAGAAGGCTGGATGCCATGATCTTAGTTTTCTTAAAGTTGAGTTTCAAGCAAACTTTTGCACTTTTTTCCTTCACCCGCATCAAGAGAATCTTTAATTCCCCTTCACTTTCTGCCATTAGAGTGGTATCATCTGCATATCTGAGGTTTGTTGATATTTCTGTCTGCAATCTTAATTCCAACTTGTGATTCATCTAGCCCTGCCTTTCTCACAATGTCCTCTGTATATATGTTAAATAGGCAAGGCTACAGTATACAGCCTTGCTGAACTCCTTTCTCAATTTTGAACCAATCAGTGATCCCGTGTCCAGTTCTTGACCCACTTATATTTTCATAGTCAATGAAGCAGAAGTAAATGTTTTTCTGGAACTCCCTGGCTTTCTCCATGACCCAGCATATGTTAACAATTTGATCTCTAGTTCCTCTGCCTCTTCGAAATCCTGCCTGTACTTCTGGTAGTTCTTGATCCATATACTGCTGGAGCCTAGCTTGTAGGATTTTGAGCATAACTTTGCTAGCATGTGAGATGAGTGCAATGGTGCAGGAGTTTGAACATTCTTTGGCATTGCCCTTCTTTGGAATTGTAATATAAACTGACCTTTTCCAATCCTGTGGCCACTGATGAGTTTTCCAAATTTGCTGGCATATAGAGTGTAGCACTTTTACTGCATCGTCTTTTAAGATTTTGAATAGCTCAGTTGGAATACTGTCACCTCTACTTGCTTTGTTGTTGCTCAGACTTCCTAAGGCCCATTTGACTTCACATTCCAGGATGTCTGGCTCGAGGTCAGTGACCACCCCATCGTGGTTATCAGGGACATTAAGCTAATTCTTGTATAGTTCTTCTGTGTAATTTTGCCACCTCTTCTTAATCTCTTCTGCCTCTGTTAGGTCCCTGCCATTTTGGTCCTTTATCATGCCCATCTTTGCATGAAATGTTCCCTTCATATCTCCAATTTTCTTGAAGAGATCTCTTGTTTTCTTCTATTTCTTTGCACTGTTCATTTAAGAAGGCATTCTTATCTCTTCTAGCTATTCTCTGGAATTCTGCATTCAATTGGGTGTATCTTTTTCTTTCTCCCTTGCCTTTTGCTTCCCTTCTTTCCTCAGCTATTTGTAAAGCTTCCTCAGACAGCACATTTTTTTTCTTTGGGATGGTTTTAATTGCTACCTCCTGTACAGTGTTGCAAACCTCCGTCCATAGTTCTTTAGGCACTCTGTCTATCAGATCTAATTCCTTAAATCTATTTGTAACCTCTACTATATATTCATCAGGGATACGATTTACTTCATACCTGAGTGGCCTAGTGTTTTTCCTCCTTTCTTCAATTTAAGCCTAAATTTTGCAATGAGAAGCTCATGATCTGAGCCAGTCAGCTCCTGCTCTTGTTTTTATGGACTGTATAGTGCTTCTCCATTTTTGGCTGCAGAGCACATAGTCAATCTGATTTCTGTGTTGACCGTTTGGTGATGTCCATGTGTAGAGTCATCTCTTGGGTTGTTGGAAAAGAGTACTTGCTATGACCATCATATTCTCTTGACAAAATTCTACCAGCCTGTGCCCTGCTTCATTTTGTACTCCAAGGCCAAACTTGCCTGTTATTCCAGTTATCTTTTGGCTTCCTACTTTAGGATTCCAATCCCCCATGATGATAAGGACATCATTTTTTGGTGTTAATTCTAGAAAATGTTGTAGGGCTTCATAGAACCGGTCAACTTCATCCTCTTCAGCATCAGTGGTTGGGGCATAGACTTGGACTACTGTGATGTTGAATGGTTTGCCTTGGATTCGAACTGAGATCATTCTGTCATTTTGGGGATTGTATCTCAATACTGCTTTTCCTACTCTTTTATTGACTATGAAGGCTACTCCATTTCTTCTGAGGGATTCTTGCCCACAGTACTATACCTGATAGTCATCTGAATTAAATTCACACATTCCTGTCCATTTTAGTTCACTGATTCCTAAGATGTTGATGTTCAGTCTTGTCATCTCTAGTTTGACCATGTCCAGCTTGTCTTGATTCATGGATCTTACATTCCAGGTTTCTATGGAGTATAGATCTTTACAGCATTGGACTTTCCTTTCACCACCACATACTGTAGTGTACATCCACAGCTAAGCGTCGTTTCGGCTTTGACCCAGTCGCTTCATTCTTTCTGGCACTACTAATACTAGTCCTCTGCTCTTCCCCAGTCGCATATTGGACACCTTCCTACCTGAAGGGTTCGTCTTCCAGTGTCATATCTTTTTTGCCTTTTGGTACTGTCCATAAGGTTTTCATGGCAAATATACTGGAGTGGGTTGCCATTTAAGATAATTTGCAGTCTGTTGCAACAATGATAAAAGAAGAGTTTGTACACTTTAAAGATTAACATTAGCAAAATGACTCAGGATTCTGGTTTGTACATATCTCCGTGGGTGATGCTTGCTCTTATGCTCTAATAACCCATCAGGAATCACTCAAGAGAGACTTGAGTTGTACAAGCCAATTACTTGTATTACTGAAAGACCATAGGAGAACTTTCCAGAATGACTTACTATAAATGCAACTTTATATTTCAGTTTGTATAAATTCAATAGCTAATTACTATTTCTTTGAATACATACCTTTAAATCCATTTAGCTATCTGATATCTCAAAACAGAGGTGAGAGGGCACGTGTTACCAACCTTAGTTCACTAACCTGAAGTATAGTAGCAGCTTTATGCTTATCCAAAAAATGATTATTCTTTTTTTCACAGCTGACAATCTTTCTTCTGAGGCAGTAACTCCGCCAAGCAGACTGGATTACAGTTGCTGCCAGATGTAGCCTTGTATAAAAATTGATCTCTTTATGAATTCTATAACCTCGCCAACACGATTGGATAATTATGGCTGCTGAGCTATAAAAGAAAAAAAAACATTACTTTAAAAATATAAACTGTGCCAATAATTGTACTGTATATTGCTGGTTTTTTTGAACATGGGATACTATTTGGGGATCAAATAAAAAAGATTAGATCTAAGAAATATAAACATGCCTTTACTGGAAATCAAGGACAAGTTGAGCACTGGCAAAAAGCTCAATTTAGTCCTTTTCCCTATGTATACTGTGTTGTGAAAAAAACTTCCTTATCATAAGAGAGAAGACTATTGAATGCAAGGAAGCTTTAATATTAGAGAATTAATTCATGCAGAATTGAAGAAAGAAGTAGGGAGGATGAAGCAGGCTAATGAGACTATTTTCCAGGCATTTTACAATAATGCTATTTTGCTTAATGCCAAATAACTGTTGATGCTGACATTGGAGGTTGATGCATGTTACACATACAAAATAGTTGTTAATTAGAAATAAATTGGTATTGCGAATTTTAAATCCATACATGTTAAATGCATTCTAAGGAGATAACTTTTTCTATATATAAGAATCTTATTGATGCTGAGAGTGATTTTGGCAGTTCCTGGTAGGATCATCTTTGCTGGGAAGGTTGGAAGCGGAATCCAAAACAGAATGAGGAAAGAATATATATTATCTTCATATCTGTTAAATTTATTTAACAGCAAATATGATATGTCAGAATTGGAAGATAGGACACGTAGAATCAGAATTTAAATCAGAATGAGAAATGATTAGTAATAATTTGATTCTCTCATTAGAATTGGAATTGGTAGTTACAGTGTTAATAATTTTACATAATACAATTTTTATATGAAAGTAATGACTACATCATAAAGTAAAAATGAAAAATATGGTCTGTAAATATTAAAACTAAGGTAATGGCAAATAGAAGGCTTAATGATCTTACAGCTTACATTCCAAAGAAATGAAGGTTAGTTTTGCAATTCTGGGCTCAAGAACAAATACAAATGGAAGTATATTAGCAAGGTAATCAGGAAAACAATTATATGGAGAAGAACAAATGTAGATAATTTCTATGAAAACAAGAATCAGAGTATTCAAAGCACTGATTTTTTTTCCCCAGTGGAAATGTCCATGAAAGAATCAGCGAGGTAAGACAGATGAATCTGAATTATGGATATGGAGACAGTTGCTATGGATACTATGAACTGCAAGAAGAATTAATCGTTGATCCTGAATGACTAACTGCTCTTTTGAGGCAACAAGGAGAAATTCATTTGATGTAAATGAATGAAAGGCTAGAAATACTATTCTAGTAGAAAAAAAACCTGAAGATAACAAATAAGAAGGATGGGTGGAATGAAGAAAACATTGTAATATCTGTGGAAGAATGACAGATTATTGTTTGGGAAAGATTCAAATGGTAGCCTTTACACAGGCAGCCTCCAGGAATCAACCAGAGTTGATGGGACATTTTTTTACAGCTTGTTCAGTCATAGACATTCAGAAAAAATTAACACATAGGATGATTTGTTTTTAATTCTAGTATCAGAAAAAAGTATATTTTTCTCACTACTGGCCTGAAGCTCATCTCTGTTCCTAATGCAGAAGCTGAGTGTATACTTTCGCATCACTCAGTAAATAGCATTTGTAATAGCCTGCTGCCTAAATATCAATACAAATGTGCATAGAATGTACTCAGTGAAGCTGAAAAATCCCCAAAAGGCCAATCTTTACATTTCAGTTTACAGCAGCATAAAATGCAATACAGTATTTTAACCTTAGACTGTCTACTATTGACCTCACCCCTTTCCTAAGAGGTCTGTAAGGGGCATGCATAAGTGCACCAACGTGCCTACTGTCCCTGTCCTATTGTTTCTTTTTATTTTTCTTATATGTATTCATTTCATGTACTCATAACTATGTCTATAATACCTGTAATCTTATAATCGCTTGACAAAATAAAAAATAATAAATAAATAAATAAATAAATAAATAAATAAATAAATAAATAAACAAACAAACAAACAAATAAATAAATAAATAAATAAATAAATAAATAAATAAAATAAAGTATTCAAATGCAACTCAGGATCCCTGATCTGATCATTTTTCTCTGTGCCTTCAAGTCAATGTTAACTAGATCCTGTAGTTTACATGAAAACATTTTTTGGAAATGGTCTCCTCTTGCCATCCTCCTAGGGATGAGAAAAATGACACAAACTCAGCTAGCTGGCTTTGCATCTAAGATGGGACTAAAACTTATGCTTTCTAGCCTGATATCTTAACCACTACATCAAAGGTTTTCTTTGTTCAGCAGTGAATTACAGGTGAAACTCAAAAAATTAGAATATCGTGCAAAAGTTCCTTTATTTCAGTAATGCAACTTAAAAAGTGAAACTAATATATGAGATAGACTCATTACATGCAAAGCAAGATAGTTCAAGCCGTGATGTGTCATAATTGTGATGATTATGGCTTACAGCTCATGAAAACCCCAAATCCACAATCTCAGAAAATTAGAATATTACATGCAATCAATAAAACAAGGATTGTACATAGAACAATATCGGACCTCTGAAAAGTATAAGCATGCATATGTACTCAGTACTTGGTTTGGGCCCCTTTTGCAGCAATTACTGCCTCATTGTGGCATGGAAGCTATCAGGCTGTGGCACTGCTGAGGTGTTATGGAAGACCAGGATGCTTCAATAGTGGCCTTCAGCTCTTCTGCATTGTTTGGTCTCATGTCTCTCATCTTTCTCTTGGCAATGCCCCATAGATTCTCTATGGGGTTCAGGTCAGGCGAGTTTGCTGGCCAATCAAGCATAGTAATCCCACGGTCATTGAACCAGTTTTGGTGCTTTTGGCAGTGTGGGCAGGTGCCAAGTCCTGCTGGAAAACAAAGTCAGCATCCCCATAAAGCTCGTCTGCGGAAGGAAGCATGAAGTGCTCCAAAATCTCCTGGTAGATGGATGCGTTGACCCTGGACTTCATGAAGCACAGTGGACCAATACCAGCAGATGACATGGCTCCCCAAATCAACACAGACTGTGGAAACTGGACTTCAAGCAACTTACAGTGTGTGCCTCTCCATTCTTCCTCCAGACTCTGGGTCCTTGGTTTCCAAATGAGATGCAAAAGTTGCTATCATCAGAAAAGAGGACTTTGGACCACTGAGCAACAGACCAGGTCTGTTTTTCTTTAGCCCAGGTAAGACGCTTCTGACATTGTTTGTTGTTCAGGAGTGGCTTGACAAGAGGAATATGACATTTGAAGCCCATGTCCAGGATCCGTCTGTGTGTGGTGGCTCTTGATGCACTGACTCCAGCCTCAGTCTACTCCTTGTGAAAGTCCCCAGCACTTTTGAATGGCCTTTTCCTGACAATCCTCTCTAGGCTGCGGTCATCCCTGTTGCTTGTGCACCTTTTTCTTCCACACTTTTTCCTTCCACATAACTTTCTATTAATGTACTTTGATACAGCACTTTGGGAACATCCAACTTCATTTGCAATTACCTTTTGAGGCTTTCCCTCCTTATGGAGGGTGTCAATGATGGTTTTCTGCACAACTGTCAGGTGAGCAGTCTTTCCCATGATTGTGATTCCCACTGAACTTGACTGAGAGACCATTTAAAGGCTCAGGAACCCTTTGCAGGTGTTATGGCTTAATTAGCTGATTAGAGTGGGACACTTTGAGCCTAGAATATTGAACCTTTTCACAATATTCTAATTTTCTGAGATTGTGGATTTGGGGTTTTCATGAGCTGTAAGCCATAATCATCTCAATTATGACACATCACGGCTTGAACTATCTTGCTTTGCATGTAATGAGTCTATTTCATATATTAGTTTCATCTTTTAAGTTGCATTACTGAAAAAATGAACTTTTTAAAATGAACTTTTGCACAATATTCTAATTTTTCGAGTTTCACCTGTATAAGACAAGAAGATAATTGAAAGCAGTTCATAAGGTTTAAAGGTTAGGACATTTCTGAGAGCAGATCTGTGCTCTATCCATCCCAGATGAATTGAGTGGCCCACTAGAAAATATTTTCAAGAGTTCCTGTTAAGAATATACCATAATATTTTGTATGTTACCTATAAAGTAGAATCCAGGGGTGATCTATATGCTTAGACCAGGAGACAGCAAAACACCTCCTTTTCACTGATCAGGAGGATTTGTTTGATCTGAATTAAACAACAGTTTGTCTCTTCTATGGCTGATAAAAGATTGCACTTTAAGATTTAAACATTTTCCTTGATTTTTAGTCCTGCAGTGTTTTAACTATTGGTGAAATAGGTAATACCAATAGCGGGACAAGAAAAAAAAAAGTAGATTAATATATATTTTTCTTAAAATTATTTTCTATTCTATTTTGGTGGAGCTGCTTTGTATGCAATGTTCACTCATAAGAACTAAAAGAAAGCTTTAGATGTTATCACCATCAGATTAATTTTTAATGTGCAGCCAGCTTCAAATATTTAATTATGGAAACAAACCTTACATTCCAGGAGCGCTTGTGCAATACTGAATTAAAGTATGAAAAATTTACATTATCTGATTGGAAGTCGTGCCTGAAACATGCCTGAACAACTAAGTAAGTAAGCTCCAAATCTTGGCTGAGTGTATTCATTTCTTCCTATCCTCATTTGAAAAATCTATTCATCTACAGAATGTTCAATTAAAATAAATAAATACAAAAGTGAAAGATTATTGGTGCTGTCTCCCATTAAAACCTTGGCCTTTCTAGATGAATGAGAAAAAAATCATTTGAAAATTTCAGAATGTTGCTGTTAATCAGTATAGAGATAATACTGACGTAAGGGGACCTAAACTCAGATTTAACATAAAGCAACTTGCATACATCAGCAATAATAAATTGGACCCTTTCTTAATAAATCTTGAGAAATTGTGACATAATTTAAAAGATGTTGCCAAAATATATCCAAAACAGTTTACAATTGCTATTCAATTTTTCTGTCATGAACTACCACACAGAGCAAGAAAACATACACAAATGTATTTATAATAGTTTTTCCACAACTATCAGATTATAGATTGTGGCCTTGCTAGCCTATCCCACAGTATCCTGAAAATGTCCAAATTAATACCCATGAATTATCTTTGTCAGAAATGTTATTTCACCAATCAACTAGCTTAATTTCTGTAGTTTTATATCACTAGCAACCTTAGGAAGATAGCGGATACAGTGATACTACACAGCTCACCGTTATGGTATAGGTATTACCAGGAACATAACAAAGAGGGCATTCATAGAGACAAGGAGAGTTCTTCAGGTTGAGGAGCAGAAGAATGACTAATAGCAGCATGCAACAGTACTCATATTATGATACTTAAATCTCTCAAAAGTGCTTTATGAAAATTGGTAAGATATCAGCACAAATTCACCATAGATAGCTTACCTAAGAAGGATATTTATATATTTGTAAAAATGCTTTAAATAAAATACCAAATAAACAAGAGCCAATATACTACAGAGAAATACTGAGGAACAGAAAATGAAGAGAAAATACTGAGAAAAACTTTTGTTTTTCTTGTCCCGCTATTGGTAAAGCAGAATTCTTGAAATGATTTAATACAAATAAGTTTCATAACATCCTTGTAGCCAACAGAATAGACAGTCCTTTAAAACTGATAAATTCATTATCTGGCAGTTATATGAAAATAGGTCATTGAACCAATTGTAAATCTACTGCCCTATAATACAGTATATTTTGGAGGTTGGAATTTGTTGTGTGGATAAAATTCCTGAATATTGCTCAGTTTCATTAATTATATTTATTTCATATTTCACTTCTTTAGAAAATGTCTCAATAATTCAAAATAATCTTTCAGTCATTTATAAAGTTAATTTCATTCAGATGTCAAATTTATAAGAACCTAGGGCAAAAAGAATTAGAAAGCAGTTGATTAGAGACTATTCTGTTTGTTAGAATACTTTGGGACAGAAGAAAGTAGTACTGAGATAGAAGAAAGAAACAGAAGGAAAGACAGAGAAATATGATCTTAAAAACTTTCTAGGTTTCTGTGTATGCATATGTAAACTTCTCTTCCATTGGGAGCACCCAAAAAGCTAAGTGGTTATTCTAGGAATAGCCTTTGGAAAAGTCCTATACATCAGTGTTTCTCAACCTTGGAGAGTTTAACACACGTGGACTTCAATTCCCAGAATTCCCCAGCCTGCTATACATCAAGAGATTCAGTTTCCTAAATGTTTCAAGGATAGGTGATTTGTTTATGTTAATACGCTTTATGAAAGAATGATTTGCAATGTACTGCATAGCTTAATGTTTATAGATATATTCTTAGTACAATTAGTATAATTATATTTATACAGAATAGAGAAAGAGTAGAAACAGAAAGTAATACGGTAGTTGCTTTTTTCTGGCTGATGGTGTGCTGCTTAAATGTTTCTATTATTACTGATGTGCTGTCAAAGTAGGTGTATAGTATATGCACTAAGTGATGATGTTGTCTGCTTTAAGATTACATAGAGATACATTTATATTTTCATAAAAAAAGTTTGACCCTTTGATCTTACTTTTGTGAATTGTCAAAATGTTGAAGGTAATTTCCTCTTTCAATAGTTGTAATTTGCCTGTTGAATTTGTTTCTCTTAGGACTGATTAATGCATTGCTTTCCTCACTGTCATTTGTAGAATATTGAGTATACTTTTGTCTATATACTTGATTTTCATCTGTTTCTGGAACTGTCATGAAGGAGTTAATTGACTCAGCATGAGTATGGCCAGAAGTAATCCATCTTTCAGGCATATTAAACGAGTCCTGCTTATTTTCTTTTACACCTGAGGTAAAGAAGTTATTTTTCTCTATGAAGTCTTGAGTTAAATGATCTGCCTGTTTTTTTGGTTCTTCTGTCTTTGTAATGTTTAGAACTCCATATTCATGTGCATAACGATGTTCAATACTAAGCTTCATCAGTTTTTTAAAATACCAACACTGGAGCTGTACAGACTCTTCGGAAAATTTATCTCTGGAAAAGAAATAGTTAAAACTTTATTATTTATTTCAGGGATCCTGTTCTCCCAAAATGGTTTATAAGATTAATAACATGAAAATGCATTACATACATATTAGCTAACAGTTTTTCTAAATATATCTTAAAATAATAATAATAAAAAATCAACCTATCTTAAAATACAACCCTGGTGAAATATATACTGTATCACCCTAGAGAGCTTTAATAAATAAATTTTATAGCTTGGACAAGCCAGATTAGTTGCTGTTTTTGGTGGGCCTATAAGTAAGGCTTTAACAATATCTAGAAAAGAACTTGCTTTTCTGATCAATCTTCTGAAAGTGGCATTGTAACTCTTCATTGAAAACTCTGCCAACACTATCACAACACTTATAGGAAAAAAAAGCATTGAGATGATACAATGCTGCTGATGTCTGACATTCTTTTTCTTATATCCTTCCTAGGTGTCACTGATTTCCAGTCATGATTAACATGATCTGATATAAAATTTAGCATTAAATATTATTTGATTTTTAATTAGAGCATTAAATATATTATATAATATTTAAATATTATATTTTTATTTTTATGTGAATTAGATAATTATTTTATTTCAAACAAATCAACATATCTTCATTTAACAGGAAAGCATGAACATTTTAAATACTATCTACTATATTATGTTCTCCAACTTAAGAGGGGTCAAATAATTGTCTTCTGAGTAGAATGCTTTGCAGAAAAGAAAATTCAGTTGAAAGAGAGAGAGAGACACACACACATAGGGAGCATATGTGTGTTATATCACTACCAAGAATAAAAGCCATGACAAATAAACAATACAGTAATATTATGTAATTCTATATAACTGGGTGCATCTGCTAATATTCTTATTGTTCCTTCTTTCTTGTAAAAAGCCTTTAAACTTCATAAAGAGTTTTAATGTTTATATTTCTTCAGTTTCAATTCCTTTTAGATGCTTTTTATGTCATTTTCACCTGTTTAAACTGTGACTTTTTAAAAGGGTTTCAGCTTCCATTAGGGTCTTTTATTTCCAATCCTCTGTACAAAGCCTGTTGAAAGCCAAAACAGTGAAACAGAAGTACATTTTTGCATAGCTGATTTCAAGTAGGTGTCGGAAGATTAACTGACAGACCTTTATTAGATCTGAATAATTTTAAAAAGCATATAATTTTTAAACAAGAGCAAGCACACTTTATGTGGAATCAGGATGGAACATCCCAATTTAGCTATATACCTCTGTGTTAAAAAATGATTTAGTAAACATGGCTATGATTATATGTGGCAGCTTACTTACTTACTTACTACAGGGTCTCATTTATTTAATGAAATGTCAAACAGCCAAAATGTTTGTGGGGTTTCATATTGTACTTTAGGAATATAATATCAAGGTTACAATCTTATGGACTCTTTTAGGGGGGAAATCCCATTATGCCCTATGGAAGGCAATTATTAATATTGTTGTTACATAATCAGCAAGATGTTTATACTGAATTTGACATTTTTATCCACCTATTGAATCTTTTCCAAAGACCTAGGATAGGCAGATGTTGTTGTTTGATGGTGTTAAAAATACCATCACAGCTGTTTCAGGTAAAGCTCCTTTTGCAATTGACTGATGGTGATTTTGTCAATGCTGATGGTGTTCAGGACTGCTCCAGATATTTTGGGATTGTATCAAAGGCATTTATTACTATTGGTATGATCATTGCTTTCTTTTGCCAAAGTCATTATATTTCTATTTGCAGATCTTTGTATTTTGTGATTTTCCCCAGGTACAAAACATCCACCAACCTGTCTTTCTTATCAATAATAGTTAAGTCTTGGATATTATGTGGCGGGTGCTTGTCTGTTTGAATTCTAAAATCTAGATTATGATTCTTATGCTTCATTGCACAGTCAGCCAGATGATTAAACTGGATTGGGCACTTTATTCACCTATCAAGTCCTTTCTAACGACCTGGGGTAGGTGGATATTGTTATATTTATATCCTGCCTTTTATATACTATACACTATAGAAGTCAAGGCAGTGAGCACATTTTAATATACACACCCATATTTTGCCATTTATTTTATTTAGGATCACAGCCTTAATCTTTGTTAAATTCTTTAAGAGCAAATTTGAGTACATTTTTGAAAAAAATATACGAGCAATAATCTTGGTCACATTTTTGGTTAAGTGCTTCTTCTAATTTCCAAATACAATACATTTACAACAATGATTTGTAATTAACACATATATTCTACTATAAAAATCAGGTTATTTAAAAAAAAACTTAAGCAGTTCTTGTATGACATATCACATGATCTCAAGAAAAATACTGAAATAAATTTAAACATAGGTAGCTTATTACTGAACTGCCACATAAAGCAACACCTTCTTTATTGAAATTCAAATCTACTACCATCAGTCCTTCAAGATAGAGCAGATTAGGAAACCAATGCCAAGTAAGTCAGTACTATTTTCATTGTAAGCTATAGTAACGGAATAAGCTTCTCTTCCCCCTCCATTTATCTTTTTGTGAACTAAGGTTTGTAAAATAAGTCTGAGATACTTATTCATATTACATTCTTTCCTGAGGCTCAGACTCCCTTTATCTGACTATTGTCTTCTTTCTCCTGACCCTTATAGCCATTGTTTCTGCCATCTATAACTATGAGCATTCTTATGCAGAATGATGATATTACAAGGTGACTGAAATGTTTTAAGTAAACACTTTATGAGTTACTTTATGGATTTTTCAACAATTATTGCACTTCTGTTTTCATTCACTTTGTACAGCTGTGTGAAAAAGTCCTGCATGCTTTCAGTTTTAAGCTGTATTTACACGTTTAATCAACTTTTCACTCATAGAAACCACACAAAATTAGTACTTTGATGAAAATTTCTGTAGTCGGATTGTTATTAATTTTTATTAATATAACCGAAGTCTTTTTAAGGTTTTGAGTGAGTTTATGTGCTAAAACAAACACAACTTGAATTTTCGAGAATGTTAGGATCAAAAGTAGCCAATCAGCAGTGAGCTTTGGCTGACCAATCAAACTGCACAGAGGCTAAATCTATGAGCCAATCAATCTTGTCATACTCTCTTACTATAAATAGGCATGAAAAGCATCAAGAAATTTAATTTAGCTCTGGCTGTGGGCAAGGATGAAGGCCTTTGCTTTCACCAGTACTGAGCAGCGGCATTGCATCATTGTGCTTCATGAAGAGAGTTACTCCTGTAAAGAAATAGCCAAGAAAGTGAAATGCCATTGCACCACAGTGAGCAGAGTGGTTGAAAAATACCAAATAACTGGTTCAGTTGATGACAGGCTCTGTTTTGGAAGACCAAGAAAGTCGACAAAACGGCATGATCGGGCTCTGCAATGTATTTTGATGGTTGACAGGAAGTTCACTTCAACTCAGATTACAAGAATTTGGGATGAAACAGGTGGTGTAAAAGTGTCCACAAGCACAGTGCATCGCAGACTGCTTGTAAGAGGGCTCAAAGGCTGCAGGGCTCAAAGTAAACCTTTGCTCACAGATGCTCACCGCTCTCATCGACGTGTGTGGGCCAAGAAGTATGCCAAGTGGATCAACGAACAGTGGGCCAAGGTCATCTTCAGTGACAAGAGCTATTTCTACTTGACTGGGAATCAGTGCAATAAGTATGTCAGAAAATTTCCAGCTGAAGAATTTCCAGCCGTACTGCCTGAATCTATCTGTGAAGCATCCATTGCACATGAAGATCTGGGGCTGTATCGCTGCTTCTGGTATTGTTCGGATACCAATCGTACAAGGAATCATGAATTCCAAGCAGTATGCTGAAGTCCTGGAAAAGACTATGTTTCCTTCAGCTCAGCAACTTGTAGGGAAGGACTTTTACTTCCAGTATAACAACGCTCCTTGTCATCGAGCCAAGTCCATCCAGCAGTGGATGAAGAAGCATGGTGTTCAACTCCTGGATTGGCCAGCTCAGAGCCCGGATTTGAACCCAATTGAGAACTTGTGGGCCAAGATTGGTTATGAAATAAGCAAGAAGCATCTGAAGACCAAGCAGGAGCTGACTGAATCCATTATTGTAGCCTGGCACCACATTTTCACCAAAGATCATGTGCAAAGGCATATATATATAGTCTATGCCGAAGCGATGCCGCCTGGTGATAAGCAATAAGGGTTGGCCAATTTCATATTAGTAACCATACTTGGTTACCTAAACGGTCCTTTTCAGGACCACAAATAATAAAAATGTTAACAAAACACTAGCATTGGCCTTAGTAATTGCAACACATATACCACTGGGTATGCATCAGTTAATCTGTTTTCATAGTCATTGTAAGCATGCATTGTAAGCATGCAAGAAAATTCACAAACCCCATCAAAACAGCCCCAAATTGCAAAAAGCTTATGCTTTTCACTTAAAAACCACCAGTATTTATTTAAATATAACAATATTTGCATAGCAGTTAACATAAAATATCATAAAACCAATGGCCTATCCCAAAAATGTCATAAACTGTAAACAGGTAAATTGTAAAGCGTGCAGGACTTTTTCACACAGCTGTACATTTGCTCATGTGTGCTCTATACAGACATAGTACAGTTGCACTTATATAATTGAACACATAGGTATTTCATACGTATAATATGCAACATATAGTAGTTGCACATATTTCAATATTATTGAAATGTAATATAATATCATGCTATTTTGCATCATTTCATGTATTACTTTTGTCCTATACACATATTTTGCACTAATTAAACTTCTTAAGTAGAGTTACTAGATCCAAAAAATCCTGATGACTACCAGATATTAGCAAAAAAGTGTAACTCATCTATTTTCTAATATCTAGGAGTCTTCTAGATTTTGCAGTTCAGATTGCACAAGCCTTCATTGGGATTCTTTAATTCAGTATCCATGTAATTAATTCTAATCGATTAGTGAACATAAAACAGTAGAAATGAAGAAAGATTACTGAATTTCATGTAAGCTTGTGATGGGTATTTCCATCTGATCAGATTTCTAAAAGATGTCAGAAGCCGTTAATAGACTTTCATCACTTTTCTACCATATTGTTATTCCAATGTATATATTGTTCAATCAATAATAAGCATCAAGGAACAAAAACCTTGAAAATTAAGTTCTTGAAATTAATTGTAAATACTTACAATCTAGTTGCAGCTTTTTTGTGGAGTGATACAATTTCTTGAATCTGAGCTTGACAAAATGCTGCAAATGTTTCTGACTTCGAGATTTTTTCATAAACCTTTTCTACATCACAACGTACATTTTCATCATTAAGTATTTTCAAAGTGGGCAAATTTTTGAGTAAGCAGCATCTTTAAAATGACATAGAAACCATAACTTTAGCACAAGTTAGCTTTAGGAAGCATGTTACATAGAAAATTGATTATTACAACCTCAAAACAGAAAGGCAGCAATGTCTTAAACAAACAGAATTTGGTATTTCAAGACGAGAAGCACAATGGGGTTAAATACTGCTGAGAATGCTTGCTTCCCCAGCTGAAACTGGCACCTTGATGTTGGAGCTAGTCCAATTATTAAATAAACCCTTGTTTATTTATGAGATTTTGTATATCAGGTAACTGAAGGGATATCACACAGAAGAAAGATACAATATGTTCTCTATCTTCTCAGATTGCAGGAAATGGGATGTCTAAAGTTAAAGGAAAACAGTTGAAGATTTTCCTCACAGCAAAAACAGTTTAATAATGGAATAAATTAACTAAGGAGATGGTGGACTCCCCTTCAAGGATATGTTCAAACTGATGTTAATTAGACATTTGTTGAGGATATTTTACATAAGGTTCCTACAGATGATACAAAGTGAGTTGCATTTGATGATCTATAGAACTATTTCCAATGATGATTCTGTAAGGATTAAGTAAAAACAACCTTCCTCACAGCATCAATAGCAGAACACCATCCAGAAAAAGGAAATGGAAAAAAGTGCTATTCAGTCCAATATCTTTCATGGAAAGGACTTACAGATCATGGAATATTTTCTTGATCTAGACCCCTTTTACCTCCAGGCTAGCTTGAATAGACTCTTATGCCAAGTTTGACAATCAATTATCAAAGAAAATTTAGACAAAATCTGGCCAAGGATTCCAGATACTTGAATAGAAAAATAAGCACATATTTAAGCCCCACAAAGTTAACATGATGGATTCAAATTTTGGCTGACTCATATACCGTGTTTCAATATATATCATTAGAATCATAATTCCAATTTATATCAGAACAAAAAATTAAATCTAAAATCTGTATTTCCTTTTCACAAGTGCATACATGTCAGATGGTAATGTTAAATGAATAACTGTGAATAGGGTGTCTGGAGATATTGGAGACGATGTTGAATAATGAGATATTCAAAAAGTGCCATATCAAGTTGATTTATGTTGGAAACTATGGTTTCTTAGAGCCATGGGATCTTAGATCTAGTTTTTCCAGCTGGGTTTCTGCTAGTGAGGGCTGAATCAATATTTCATTTAGTGAAAACTTCCTGGTGAATATTCTGTCACTTAAGAGGTTCTATTAATCATTATTGCAATGAAATATATTCCCTCGAGGAATGCTCAAACAGATCTTAGGGTTTAATTTCCAAAAAGTGATTTCTCAGTACTTCAGCTTCTTCAGTGTTATCACTGGCTGGACATGAAAGTAAGAAACCAATTGGGAACTTTTATAAGTAATTCCTTTGTTGGTATCGGGGGTTATGTAAAGTTCATTGAAACATATTGCTTGCAGTTATTGTCAATGCTGAATTCAACAAATCCATACTTTATAGTATCCCATTAGATAAATTAATCTTTCTCTGTTCATGAAAGCTCAAATGGCCAAGCAGCATGGGAAGATTTTGATGACTCTGGAATTTCAAGAGTTATTTTAAACTGAATTTAGGTAGAATAGCAATTATACACCAATTAAGAATACATCAAATTAAGAATACACCCATTTTTTTAAAAAAAACCTATTTCTCTTTTGTTACTTGCAAGAAATTAGCAGTATTTAATGGAGAAGGATTTTTGATCTCACGGTTTAAAGGCTTTCAACCTCTATTTAATATTTTTTTAACTTTGCAATCAATAATGAAATTCCTAAGCACATATGCACAGCTAAAATGACTAAGTTTAGAAAAACAGATTTAGAAAAATATAAAACTATGTTAGCCAAGCTCAATGGGGAAAAGAGATAATGGAAAAATAATCCAAAAAGTTTGGAAGCATAAGTATAAACAAACTGTAAAGCTAAATGAGGAAAATGGCAGAAGACCAACCCAGCTGCAAAAAAACCCCACTTTGAATTATTTGAGAAATGAAAATGAAAATAAACAGGAACTGAATACAGGGCAAATTATTAAAAATAGATTCTATCTATGATTACTAATGCTTCCACTTAAATACAATTTGTAGAGTACTTAAGGCTGCTAATTATCTGATATCTGACAATTTATATTTCAATCTTACTAGTTAATACTGGACTGGACAGAATCAATACAAAAGAAGGTACTGTTGTAGCAAAACAGAAATGGAAGTTCTAAGGCTTTAAAAACTCAAAATGAGTTGATTTCTACTTCCCACTTTCTACCTTCTACAATTAGCATAGCATCCTCCCCCTGCTTCCCCCCCAAAAAAAACCACAAAGGAAGAAAATAAATATGAAATGTTGAAAAAGACAAATGTATGATTATTCCAATCCAAGATTATGTTGAACAGCTATCAGTTCAGAATGAGCTAAAGTAAATTTAAATATAGGAGAGTGAAACTATTATGAATGTATTAACAAAGCTTAGATGCATATTAAGTACAACTGAAAAGAAAACACCCAACTGAATAAATCAATGGATTGAATATGGAAAATATGATTGAAATGGGATACTTTAAAAAGCTTAGGAAACAAAACTAAATAAATGTATAGAAATCTAATAGAAATTAAATTTTGTTATACATATTTCATACAATTTGAACTTAATTTGTTTAAAATATCCTCCTAATCAAAGCACAGATCAAACATAAGTTGTTCCAATTTTCTTATTAAGGGAAAATAATAAAAAATAATTAGTATGGAAGCAAAGCAACACAAATATGAATGCAAATGATAATAAGCATATGTAGTTTTTAAAGAGGGAAAATGTAAGTAATTCCATGTAATCTACCATTAAGTATTTAATATAGTCAGCTAACAAACAAAACAAATGTAAAACAAAGCCCTTGCCTTTTCTGAAGTTTGCATATGATAGTAATTCTAAATGATCTCCACTAATTGTAAATTATAGTTATAAGAATAACGTGAATTAATCTGCTCTCGTTAATACTTCAGAACTATTTTATGGGGCCAGTGCCACATTCTTCAGAACTATTTTATGCAGCTAGAGGCTGAAATAGGATGAACGCATTCCCACTGAAATCAATAAGAAAAAATGGTCACTAAACACTGCTGATTTGTCATTAAGGAATGCTCATTTCAGTTAAAAGTAAGTGCAACTGATATTTCTTCCATCCAACAGACTAGCTTGGTTTGTGATAATTACTGTAACCAATCATAACAGATTATTATATTTTTAACCTTAAATTTATGTTTTACCCTAAACCTCTTCATGAAAAGGCTATTGCTACATCGGATCATCATGCTTTTACTCTTCTTCTCACCATTTCCCTTTTATTTAAACTGTTTTGTGAAATCTTAAAGTTCCAGGAGTATTTGACAGGATTTTATGAATGACTAAGGATGAAAAAAAAGTTTACTCAAACACAGCAAGGGGCATCCAGAGCAATTTTTCTAAGGTATTGGGGAAAAGGCAGGGCTTATTCTCCTGTGAAAAAGAATCATGGCTGCCATTTTGAGGATCAAGGGTTCCAAGAGTTATTATTATTTTAACAAACAGGTCCCATGACTTGAAAAAGTTTGAAAACCCGGATCAAACCTACTTCTATGTATCTCATACCCAGTTTCTCTTATCTATTTACCTCCAGTTGTCTTCTTGAAGAAGAGGATTGCCAAGTAGAGATAGTTCCCTTAGGCTATCACAGCCTTCAAGACATTGAATGAGAGTCTTCAGGTCTGCATTTGTTAAGGACAAAACAAATATCAATAATTGTAAATATATTAACAGGGATCACAGCAAATAACTATCAAATACTGAATACAGTGAAATATTTATGTCTGGGAACACTCTTGCAATCCTCTTTAAAGGATAATGAAATGAAATCCCTAAATTTTAATTTATTATATTCCATTCTAATAACATTGTAATCATTGGAACCACTTTGGTCAAAATTCAAAATGGCAACAAATTACATTGGAGGGTTCTAATCCTAATTTAGGTATATTTTCTGTTTCAAATTCCATTAAATAGTCTCCTTTTAAAAATTTGTTGGAATCCTAATTGTACATAAATGCTTTGAATACACCATTTATCTTTGAAATACTAAATATTGCCTCTTCAGACTCTTTCCTTAACATGTTGTTCATCAAATTTGAAATGTATATAATAAAAAAACCATTAAATTATGGAATAATGAGAATACTTTCTTCTCATTTTTAAAATATTCTTAAACAAGATTACATTGCATCTACATAATTATAATTCACAATATACAAGGACTATTAGTAAATATAGAGCTAAAAAGGATTAAAACCTTGGTTCAAATCCTCTTAACCATAAATATTAGACATTATAGAATACAAGTAGCCCTTCACTTAAAATCACAACTGAACCCAGCAGTGGTGGGATTTTTTTTTTTTTTTTACTACCAGTTCTATGAGCGTGGCTTGGTGGGTGTGACAAGGGGAGGTTACTGTAAAATCCTATTCCCTCCCCACCCCACTAACCTGCTTTCCAGCTCCGTTCTCTTGTGAAGGACAACAAAAGGAGACCCCGCTGAATAGCTGGGACTTGGGAGGCAGAGAATAGATGGGGTGGGGCCAGTCAGAGGTGGTATTTGCTGGTTCTCTGAACTACTCAAAATTTCCGCTACTGGTTCTCCTGTACTGGTCAGAACTTGCTGAATACCACCTCTGTGACCCAGACTTTTGGTTGTAAGTCATAAGTTGAGACACTCACATGACCAGACCTGACTTTTTCCCAATTTGTTAACTGTTTTTAGGGTGGTGGTTAAGAAATAATGTGGCTCTAAGTCATTAACAAATCCATTCTCTTGAATGAGTGTCTTTTGTTAGAACCATAAAAAAACACAAATCACGATCACATGACTGCAGAATGCTGCAGTTGATCATAAATGCAAGCCAGTTGTCAAATGCTCAAGAAGTGGTAATACCACAATGTTTTACGATGGCTGGAAGTGCTTTACAGCCACAAAGCCCTCTTTTCAAGGCCTTAACTTCAAATGGCCATTAAACAAGTTAAGGACTATCGATAAGGTAAACCTTCACCATGGTTAAAGCTAACAGGACTGCTCAATGTTAAAAAGTGAATAATGTATGAATCTGGCTGCCAAACTGAATTTTATATACAATGGGAAGAGAAAAATAAGCTTTTAGCCTTTTTTTTGTGATATATGTTAGTAATCAAACTCACATATGGTTTATAATGTGCCATTGGAAACTGCAAATATTTTCCCCATTTATCTTGTAAACTTACCTAGTAAGCAGTTGTTGCTTATATTTAGTTTTTCCAATGAAACATACGAAAAAAGAGATACAAGTTGTGTCAAACTAGAAGAAAAAATAAGAAATCAACCAAGAGTTTTATAGACATTTGTGGTACAGCTACACCTACCCTCTAGGTGCTAGCATACAACAGGCCAAATGTAGCTAGAAGTCAGGCAATGATTCATCATCTGTTACCAACTTATAAATTGCTTATTAACTGCCTTAAATTGTGGACATTTCCTTTAAGTAGCAAGGTAACATTTTTTTCGAGGTGCCAGCAATTGCATAAGAGATGGGGCTTTCAAAGTAAGAAAGGAATGATTTCCTTAGAGATGAATAAAGATGATCTATAAAGTAGAGGAAAAAGTTCTTAACTAGAAAAAAAATGCCAAGGATTGCAATAGATGTATTTTACTTGGATAGTTAGAGTTAGTTTGAATGGCAAAATCTTTGACAAAGTACCTACTTAGGTTTCTATATCACGTCTTTCCTGATGTTACCGTTTTAAAAATTCCACCAGATGAAAAATAATAGACTAGACTAGATTAGACTAGACTAGACTAGATTAGAGCCGGAAGGGACCTTGGAGGTCTTCTAGTCCACCTCCCTGCTCAAGCAGGAGAACCTATACCATTTCAGACAACTGATTGTCCAGTCAATATAATAAGAATCTCTCTCTCTCTCTCTCTCCCTGTATATACACATGTGTGTGTATATAGAGAAATAGACAGACAGAGAAATAAATAGACACACACACATATATATAAAAGTATACTGCAATAATGTACTTTTTCTTCAGGGGAAATTTTTGAACAAAGTAACATCCCAGCCTCATCAAGTACTATTGATTGGTTTCCTGATACTAAATGAGTAAATGGCTTCTCTGACATAATAGGATTATTTAGGGTTAGGATTGTTAAACTTCTTAAAATCACTAGGGATTTTTTGTGTCTACTGTAAGGTATAAATTTATTTAGCCATTTTATAAATTCTCTACAAAATTCATTTCTTCTAAAAGTTTGAATAGAAAGTACAATTCAAATTGTTCAATGTTTTCTTTGCATACAATTAAGATGTTCAAAATATTCTAAAATATCTAGCACAATTCTATGTTGTCTTTTAACATTTTTAGGTAAAAATCAATATTATCTTCATGAAAAAGTTCTTGTAACATTATTTACAAACTATCAACTGAAATCATTATGAATAATTTAAAATAAGTCAATAATTATAATAATCAAATCCTGTCCCTCTTTGGGTAGTAATGCTAAATTTGCATCTTTTTGAATCAGCTAAGTCTCGAGCATCTTTCCACCCTTAAAATAAGAGCCATTATGTTTTGCAAAAGTTGTATAAATTTATCCTCAAAACACTTATCATAACAGCCTGGTAAACCAGAATATCATGCTGTTTATACAAATCTCATCAAATTATCTTCCCTGGAGATTTCTTTAATTTTTTCTTTTTCTTTTTAATCTCTTTTGAAATAGTTTGTGTTTTCTCTTGGCTGTTCTTTGTAAAACTTCAAAATGAAGAATTAATGTATTTATTATAAAAGCTATACAATATACATGTTTAGTAAAAGTAATGATTAGTCAACAAGAGGCCTCAATTATTATGGCCTCAAACATACATTCACACATACCTTTTTCTACTAGCCCACATATAGATTTCCAAGATATTTAATAAAATTTTGGTGGAGTAAATATACATATTTTAATCTGTTCTACAGCAAATATCTCCATATCTATGTACCATAAGGCTTGAGCTCAGGATCAGCTGAAGGGATGATGATAAGACTAAATTAAACTAAAGAGACATCTCCCCACAACTAAAAATAGAGAAAAATTTAAGTAATTTGGGCAGGCACATAGTTTTGTTATGGCAGTTAATGCTATCCCTTTTAAGCGCACACCTAACTAAATGTGAACTACCAACACGATAAAAACATTTTAAGATGTTTAAACTTAGTACAACATTTACAAATCTGGAGCACATAAAACATGAATAAATGCTAAAATCCAATCTATAGGAAAGAAGATAACAAAGAAAGCATCATAACAGGTGGCAGTACCTGATTGGTCTCCCAAAAACCAAATAGGGTTAGACATGATTAGTATTTGGATGGGCAAACACCAGGGCATTTCAGGGCTGAAGAATGGGTAGGTGAAAACTTACAAAGAACAAAATGTCAGATTGCTTCTATATTTTGCTAAGAAAACGTTGCAGATGAAAGCATGATTAACACAGATGTATCTGTGTAATCTACAGGGGCCCAGCTCAATTTAATATAGCTGTAAAAATATAATACTATATAGCTATAAAATATATAATACTACATCAGAAAATTATATACCACTATTTATTTTCATTTGACAAATCTATGGAAGAGAACTGTAACTATAGGGAAACACAAACTTCTCAAAGGAACAGTTACTCCAACAAGTTGCAAAGCAGATGAAGAAAAAGAGCAGAAACATCTATTGCTTCTTCAGTCACTTTGCCAGTCTCTCATTTGAAGTTTTGCAATCTGACACCTCCACAGGTTACTTGATTATTTCTCACAGCAAATCATAATATGAATCATACATTGAAAATGGATTCTGTGTTTGCTTTTGTTCATCCCAAACCCAAATCTAGGCATTGTTATTCTACTCTTCATTATCTGAAAGATTTTTGAACTTTAAGGTGACAAAAAACTATTTTTGAAAAAAAGAAAGAAGGAAGGAAGGAAAAAGAATGAAAGAAATGAATTGAAAATATGGTGTACTGAACCTGAATATATAGAGAGGGGTTTTTAAATTGTGTCATTATTTAGGTGTCACAATATAGGGTTCTTTGTTTATCAATGTCTCTGACTGAGATTCATTAACTGAAAATCAGCTGGATTGAACATCACACATCTTTAATTTTCTTTTGTCTTTATGCTTCTCTTTGTTCTACAATGGTGTCATATTATCTACTGTTTCTAAATGTAATTGAACAGTACTGAAAGTGTTAAATATTAAAACTGTATTTGTTTATTTCAAATATATGAAATTTGATCAGAAATTACTGAAAATATTTAGTGATGGAAAAAATATCTCTAATTATTCTAAGTAAGTTTTGTTAAAAATGGTACAACTTTTTCTTACCTCCAATTTGTAGAATATACATAAAGTTTAAAATCACTTTCTTCTGACATTTTGATTTTCTGCTAATCCTTCACTGATTTTCTCAGCAAAAATAACTCAGCAATGAATTATCTGCTTAAAGTATATTTAAAATTAATTCTTATAGAATGAATTCTGGAAAGTAGATTCTAGGGGGTGAGGCAAAATACTTTGCATTATGATTTGCTATTTTAAATTGATATTTAGTTTTGATAAATGTTACTACATTTCCCAAATTTGTAAAGAGAAAAACTAATATAAATGGAAAACTGTAATTATGGAAGATGGAAGGTTTTTGTAGAGGATAGATTGCAAGGCAATATTTATGAGATGTTTGAGATACAGGTCAATTTATCCTTTCTTTCCAAATGTTATGTTTACTTTACCAGAGTTAAAAACTGCAGATTAATACTTTATAATTTTGGGCATTACAATTAACAGTAATGCTCAGCAAATTGTTTAATGAAGCACTAAAAACTTAAATTATGGCTATCATGAATTATAGAGGCTTAATTACTTGATCAGTTTGGCAGCTGACAACTCAAATTTTGATTTGATGGTGTTCCTAATCACTATTCAAACATATTTTATGGTGAGTGTACTACTCATTTGTAAAATAAGTATTGTCTATGCAGTAAAATTATAGTATAAGGCAAAATAGAATAACTTTATTTGAGTAACTATCTGCTTGGTAAATTTCACACTATATATTATGTTTTATAATGGCATTTAGAGTAGTATGATGTAGAAAATTCAATAGTTAACCTGTTTTTTTAATATAAAATTCATATTGTATGCTCTACTTTAAATAATAAGATCCTTTTCAGTTTGTCGCTCTATAGTTTCCTTTTCACTGGCGGTCTTTGTCCTTTTCTTTTTTCTTTTAAAGGAAAATTCAAACCAGAAAAACAAAAGACATTACAGAAAACTTAATACCACTTGACCTTGTCCCACTAGCCCTGGGCTTTAAAAGGATATAAATTACAAAGACGACACAAAACCAAAGAGATATTCTTAAAGAATCCAATAGCTTCCTTTTTCTGGTATCATTTAAACTCAAAGCATTCAGAAAAACTGGACAGTTAGCAACACAAGTATAAAAAAAGTAAAATTGAAATATACTTGAAATTACACATATGCAGAAGAGAAAAAGAACGTTTCTTAAAATCTACAATAAACATATTAAACATGTCCTGGATCCAAAATACAATTACTATTTGCCTGCTTGATGACAGCAGGTTTTTCATGATATCAACAGATTTCCACCCCCCAAAAAAGTGAAGTTTAAACATTAGATCTTTGAGTTGACTTGTTAGGTTATTTATAATGATAGCATATCCATTTTAACAATGAATTAAAGATATATGAATAGACTAATTTATAAAATGTAAAAGGCAGCAAACTTTTCTTTTACAAAAAGGAATAAACTAAAATGTATTTTATTTTGTGTTTCACTTAGCACATTTTCCAAAATATTCAGTAGGGTAATATAATAATTCAAATTAATATTTCAGTTCAAATTCTAAAAGATACACATGTGGTTAAGGCTTCAGTGTTAGACAAATTTGTAAGTTGAAGATAAATCTCACCGAACTTACTTTTAGTGAGATGCAGAATCATTGAATTGTAAGAGACAATATCTCCCTTTGACTCTATAGAAACATAGAAACAAACAGCAATCCCAACAGAAGACTATCGTTTCTTGAACACTTCTCTCTTCTCTAGATAAATGGTTTATGCTCAAATAAAGATCCTTCTTCCCAAACACTCAATCAGAATGAACCTTCCTGTAACTTAAATATATATTTTATATAGAATATGGAATAAAAGAGAGCAGATTGTGACCTTCTTTTGATAACTTTTCAGGTATTGCATAGAGCTATAGTATCAGAAAAGGGACTTTGGAGTTTG